TCAAGGCAACTGGAGATGTCGATTGACATTACATTTGAATAGTTGGAGATTATAGCTATCAGGGAAACAGGAATAGGGAAGGGAGTTCCACAGGCGAGAGGTGCGAGATATGAAGCTATTGGAGTAGAAGAGGCGACTACATTTACCAGTTTCAACAGTGAAAGGGTGAGAGTGGGATGCCAGCCTCGTAGGGCGCTTGAATTCGCGAAGTCTGGGAACCAGCGAAAGCAGCTCATCGGAGCAATTACCATGAAAAAAAGACAGAGGGAGGCGACGGCGCGTCTGTGAGAGAGCGACTGCAGACGAGTTGCCAGATCAGGGCTAATTATATTGCATATCCGTCTCTGGATCTTATCAAGAACACCGAGGCAAACAGAAGGGGCACCAGACCATATATGGCAGCAATACTCCATGCAAGGGCGAATGGTTGATTTGTAGATTTGAAGGATCGATTCCGGGGAGAAAAATTTCCTGGCGCGGCAATTGGACGAGGCAATTGACTCAATGTATTTGTTCCATCTCAGGTCAGCAGTCAACGTGAGCTCGAGCAGCCGCTGAACTTTTATGGTGACTAAAAGATCGCTATGAGAAACAAAATGAAGATAACTAATTTTAGAAACTTCTGTGCTTCTTTTTGTCTTCTATGTTCCGCGTCCCTTCATAGCATGGACGATAATGTCTCTCCACAACTTCCTATCCCTTGTCTTTCTCCCTTTGCTAAGGTTCCCGCTATCCATTCAACAAGCTCATCAGATGCGATTCGTTACCTCCTCCTCTCTCTCTTACCCTTAATAAACCACGTGAGGGTTAAGTTTCCCAAGACCTCCTTCCTCATTATTATATGTTCAAAGAATTTCTGCTGTCTTTTCCTGGTTCTGAATATCAGTGTTCTTTCCATTGACATTTTCTTTGTTGATTATTCGCTTTGTCCACGGAATTCTCAGAGAATTCTCATTTTGTAGAACCAAATTCCTGCTGCCTCTAGTTTGCTCCTCATTTGCAAGGCGATTGTCCAGTATTCACTACCAAATAAAAGGATGGATATTACGCAGTAATTCAGCACATTTTTCCTTATTTCTTCCGATTCTTTTCATTGAAATAAAGATGAATTTAAATCTCAGACCTGGTTCCTACTTCAATTGATTTTACAAAAGTATTTAATATCAGAAAATAATGTTGAATACACATTTATAGCAGAGCAGTGTTTTCATTGATTAATTTATAATTTAAACTATTAATTATTACAGCTACATTAACAATAATTAAAATGGAAAAGCTATTTATCTTCTTATAAGTTCTGTGTAATGATAGCGTTGTGCACAAAATTAGAAATGAATAAAATGTGTAGATTAATAAAAACAAACTTAATCTCGTATATTTAACATTGCATTTTATTTCTGACGATAAACTACACCCGCCAGAAAGGCCTTTGATCGAGAGAGTTTTTGAGGAGCGTCGAACAACCTTTTAATTGATGTTGTTCTCACTTCCTTCCTGATTATGGGTCGTAGCACTTTTAGGGTCCCAGCTATGAGCAGATAGTAAACCCGCAAAACAAAAATCAAAAATGCATTTTTATAATAAAATAACCAACAATACGTTTTTATTGTAAAATTACCAACAATACTTTTATGATCTACAAAATATATATATATACATAGCATAGCTTTACTCTGAAAGTATAAATTATGTACAAAATATCTGTAAAATTATGTACAATAGATTTAGATTTCGACATTAAATAACTCATAGAGGTTGATATGCTGCCAAACAAAATCAAACAACTAATATGAAAGAATACTTTCATGACATTAATCCATATAATACTCTACAGTTTCTAAAAAAAATCGAACTGTATTCCAAAATATAACTTCAAGAAAAACTAAAACATAAAAGCCACATATCACCGGCTCGAGTAATCTACACAAATTAGTATATTCCCAAACGCCGAGTAGCATCTACCATCCATTCAATTCTGAAAGTAGAATAACATATATCATATTTTTATTACTTCTACTACTTTACGACTGGGCATGGACCCCTGCCGGAACCAGTTGTTGAACACTACAGTCAAAATCGGCACAAAGATGTGCGACAGACACAAGAGGAAACCATCACGTCCGGAGACTTGCCACTGCCGGCCATCTTCAATGCCAAGTAGACTTCACCCTGCGTGATCTCATCCTCGCAGCTAGCCGCTTCAGTCGGCGAAAACCGAAGAAAGTCAGCCAAACAGCTACGAAACACATCTGAGACCGGTAGTAAACCGGTTCTCGAAATGCCGCTGAAACACCTCGCATATGTCGTCAGTCAACCTCAGAGTATGCCCCTCCGGGGTCTTAACTTCACGAATGTAACGATCGGAACCTCGACGGATCTCTTCCTTGCGTAATTGTGCACCCATGTTCACGGCTACGTTAGACATCTTGTTTAACCTATGTCTAACTACCTGACCCTGGTAGCACTGGCTAACCGCGCGCTCCACGGCCTGCTTAGCTAAACCTATTTCTAGGGAGTACCCCCAAGCCTCCACCCGGAACAGACTATCTTTAAGTGTCTTCACCTTTTTAGCCTTATCTAGTGCGAGCCGCTGGCTATATTCGGCGGTGAAGTCTCTGAAGTCTCTCCCACCCTATTCCCAATAACCGCCCCCACTAGTTCCCGCTGCACTAGTCTAATTAACTGTTGCTAGAAATCCCGCCTGTCCAGTAAAGACAGATTGAAATTTCAGTGTCCAGCCATTCTAGGCCTAGTATCTAACGCTATCTGGGCACAGACGTATCTATGGTCCAAATAGCCTAACCAGTGAAACTTTGGACAATCTAGCAGATCTAAATCGGCCCTTCTCACTAGCATTTTATCCAGGAAGCTGGCTACCTGGGTAGATGGCCACTTACGAGTCCACGTACACATCTCCCGCCCAGGGTGATCGACCCGGTATTTATCGATGAGACCGAACTCATCGATCAGATCAACCAGGCTACGATTACCCAATGACCTCCCGCTAGATCCCTGTCTATCTTGGGATCCAGGGTTAGATTTTCCAGTCCCCAACTAAGACTAAGCGCGAAGACCCGGCCAGGAACGGCCCCAACTGCCGAAAAAACGAGACACGCTCCCGCTGACCGTTGGGCGCATAAACCGCAACGATCCGCGACGTGGACAAGGTTCACCCTCGCACCCAGTGTACGTTTAACCAGCAAGAAAACACCTCTAACCGGCTGGTCAACATATGCTGAATAGGCAACATAGTCGCTAGACAGCACACGCGCATCAACCTCACAAGCAAAGTGCGTCTCCTGGTTCACAGATACATCTACGCCGACAAGAGATCACGGAGCATGCGGGCGGCCTTACTCAGATCCCTCAAGCCTCTCGCATTTAAACTAGCTATCTTGAGAGACATTTTTCAAGTTAATTCCCCTACTCATAGACTGGATGGAAACTGCGGATGAAAGACCCCGACAGATTGTCCCAGGCTCCCTCTCCCCATCTCTATTATCATGCGACAATACCGCCAACGTCCGAGAGGTACGTTAGTTTTAATGTCCTATATACTGAAGGATAGAGGATTACTGGGACCCTCCCTGCACAATATTTCTGTAGCTTTCTCAGTTTCGGGGTTCCTATTTCCCCCATACGGATCTCCGGAAAGGCATCTTTCGCCTCGTGTAGATGATCCCACGCTATTAGATTTCGGCCTGTAGCAAGCCCGTCTACTGACGCCATCTTTAACAAGGGCTTCAACAAAGCTCTTTTTTGCTACCCGCTTCTATCGTTCTACCCGTTTGTCCACGCAGCACGACATTACCTCTGCTGGGAGGTGTTGAGCGTTGGGAATTTACTAGGCGTTGTGCTGGTGGTAAGGGGCTTCTTGACTAGCGAAGCCGGTGCAGACTGAGCCTTGGTTTTGGCAGAGTCTTTGGGAGATTCAGCTCGCTTGTCTTTTTTATTTATTTTCCCCCTTTTCTTCTCTCCCTCTTTACAGTGAAGACGGCCTAGGTGGGGTGGCATCTCCTGCATTTCTACCTCCCCTACTTGGTCCTCTTGCTTTAGTTGGGGACTCATTCTGCTGCTGCTGCTGCTGAAGGGAAGTGGTGGTACTTTTGGATCCCTTCTTAACGACTTCCGTCCACTCTCCCCTTTTCTTTGTTGTTCATCCTGTTGTCTGTGATGTTAATGTCATTTTTCTTTTTGGGTTGTGGTTCAGAATTTTGTCCCGGGAAAGCCTTCGACAAATTTCCCGCAGCCCACAAGCCCAACAATGTCGACGATCCTCCACAAAGACAAAAGTTAGTCTACCTTCACACATTAACGTGTTGGGTATTTCGGTCAACTGCTTTCGGTTTAAAGTGATTGCGATTACTATATCGCCTGTGGCTATTCCTGCCTTACTTTTAATAGGGCAGACTTCGGAGACGTCCCTATATTTGGAAAAGAAAAAACCAAATTGTCTTCAGATATGACGAGTGGGACATAGTAGAATCACCTTTGCTTTTCTAGTTCCCGTGTATTCAGTATGAAGCCTGACTGTAGAAGTAGTTAGAATACAGCCTGCCAGCGATTTAGTTTCCTCTTCTGTAGGTAATAAAATGTCACAAATTGACCTACTTCTTCTTGCTAGAAGTTGGGCTGCAATTTGAAGCCTTTTCAGGGCCTCCTCCATGACAACCCTATTTACAGAATTCAGCTTCCAAGTCTTGGGGTTCGTTGTTACTAAAGAGATTGTCCAATACAGACGGCACCGGTAATAACTCATTTCTTAACAGATGGTTCAAACTTCTCTTTTAAATTTTTGAAATATTCTGGCTCTTTTTTTTTGGGGGGGGGCTATCCTTTGCCAATGACGAGGGAGTTACTTCTGTAGGGGAAGCATTAGGAGATCCGGGCTCCGACATGATATCGCCGTACCACACAATTCAAAACAATATACGGAATTCAGACGACAATAAAAGCAACAATTGATACGCAGGAAGTAGGCAAACAAAAATAACCCTTACTTCACAGAATATCCAATGAAATGTGAAATATCTTGGACAACTCGACAACACAAAATGTATAGACAGATAGATAGATATCTAAGATAGATAGATAGATAGATTAGAACTGATTAGAGTAAATTTATAGATAGATTTGAACACACTGTGACCGATATTTACGAACTGTGTTATATATTAACTGATTAGAGTAAACTGATAGATAGATAGATAGATAGATAGATAGATAGATGTGAATACACTGTGATAGATATTAACGAACTGTATTAGATAGATAGATAGATAGATAGATAGATAGATAGATAGATAGATATGCAGCAACAACTTTAGATTTTTACCATTAAATCCTTATATCAACTACAAAATACATTCCTTTTACATTATAATCGATCAGTGGTGGGTGGGGTGAGAGAGAGATAGAGTGACAGAGAGAGTGAGGGAGGGAACTGAAGTAGCTTTTTATCTTGAGGGAAATAAAGGAAATGATTTCACCATGGCGTGATACCATTTATCTTATTTCTCATTTTAGCAATCGTTAGCCTGTCCTTCGGCCATTTACTGATCTAGTTACATGACTGTAATTTCTATTAGATTCTGAAAAAGGATTTATTTCATTTTAAGCGGAAATATAAAAGAAAATGGCACTGAAAGATACTGCCAAAGAGCATACATCCATCTATGCGTATTCGAAGTTGTATCTTACGTAGAAAGGCTAACCATCTGATAGAAATGGATATGAATGTGTTGGCGTGTGCGCTTAGATAGATAGATAGATAGATAGATAGATAGATAGATAGATAGATATGAACACACTAGAAAGTTACATATTTGAGAAAAGACAATTTGTAAAACTTCTATTTTGGTATATTTCGATAATTAACCGGCGCCATCATTTTCTCATGACGTCGTTTCATAGGCAAAACATTTGAAAATAGAAGTTTTTCAAATTATCTTTATATATATATATGTGTGTGTGTGTGCGTGTGTGTGTGTGTGTGTGTGTGTGTGTGTGTGTGAAGATTGCGATCTAGCATGAAACAAACTGTCGCGGCTTGATGTTAACCTTAGTGTCTTATATATATATATATATATATATATATATATATATATATATATATATATATATTAAATAAATAAACAGACAATGAATGTCTATTATGATTGATCATAAACCGTTGCTTTCATTTTGGGTGAAAATAAAGACAAAAATTGTCCAACATTTGGATATTTTTTATTATGCTGTTCCTTGATCTAAGCTTTCGGCTCACATGAGACATCTTCAGAGTGGCTATACAGATATTTTAACAAAGATATTCACCATCAAAGATGATATTCTGTTATGTCGACAGAGAAGATTGCTATGCGACGATAACGGTAGCGGAATAGCAGACGCAAGTCATAAATTCCTGATGCGCTTCTATGACGTCGTACCATGTGAGAAAATGAAATATTAACAACAGAATCATATATCTAGATGCAATGTAATGTGTTGAGTCTGTTGAGTCTGGAAATGTAATTTTTTGAGTGTGGTTTGCTTTGTTTTAATGTAGATAGCCTTCAATATCTAAAGTTTCATTTTACTGTGTGTATGTGTGTGTATTGTTGTGTTATCAACTTATTATGGCTATGTTTTTCTAAGAAATGTTTAATAGAACTAAGATCAGAAATGTGACAGGTAAGTCTACGGGAGAGCGTGGTTGTAGTAAAACCAATATATGTAGTGGGTTTAATATTATTATCAAAATTACAATCTCTGAACCGAAATGTAAACTGATACACTACATTGTTCTTTTTTCTTTTTTCTTTTTTGTAGAGGATTTAATTGCGTGGTTGTAGTCTTATTAGAGACAATTGTTTTAATTTTGTTATAATATATTATGAGTTTGTTTATTGTAACTAATGGGTTTAACATTTTTACCTGTTACGTTTATGAGTGTTGTTTCATCATGTTTGTAATTATTATGCATTTTGTTACAATAGTATAAGTTAATATGGGCCGAGTGGTTAGAACATAAGCATTCTGACCATGAGACTCTCACCGTAGTCAATTTGTTAGGAAGGACACTTCCTGGTGTTATAGAAATGGAGTGGTCCTTTGGAAAGTGGTTGAAAACCATACCACGTGTTGTGAGTAAAATTGGGCAGAGGGAACCCTTGGATGCCGTCGATAGCTGTGCTAGCACGAGTCATCATGGCTAAGGGCTTGAACATTCTGGCTATGTTCAAATTGTTGATCACACTAGATAACACGCTCTTGCCAAGGAATTGCATTTTATAAAGCACAGGTGGGCTTTGTGGGTGTTGAATAAATAAAATGCGCCTGTAATAGGAATTTGCTAGCGACTCTAGTAGACAGGTATCCTCGAATACGAGTGGCCAGATATATATATATATATATATATATATATATATATATATATACTCAATATATATATATATATATATATATATATATATATATATATATATAACTGGCCACTCGTATATATATATATATATATATATATATATATATATATATATATAAACTAGACTCGTTTTGAAAAACCCTCAAATTTTGATTTGCTAATCAAATCAATCTCGAGGGAAAAAGGTTTTAAAAAAAGAAAGAGCTACAAACAAACTTTCCCTGACGATCCGTTTAGGTGAAACCTAGGTAGGTTTGTCTGGCTCACTAGGTGTATCTATACATATATATATATATATATATATATATATAGCTGGCCACTCGTATTAATAGTGTTATGTTTATTTTGACGTACAGTATTAATTATTAATATTATCAATTTTGTTAGCGGTATTATTAAGTTTATTGAGATACATTTGAATTTGTTGATCAATGACGGAATTAGGAAATCCATTATTAACAGGTGTTTGTTTAATGTCATTTCATTCTTTTTAGAATATGGTTTTGGAAGAAAATATCATTTGTGTGCGTTGGATTAAGCTTTTTTATAACGGCTAACGTTTATCGATGGAGGCATTCACTATTATGATTAAAAAGACACGAGTTAATGCTAGTCAATTATGTGCCATGCGTGATACACGTAGGCGATCATGTATCTTTCGATACATGATTGACGAGTCAGATTTTTCCCTCAGTATGTTGCCATTTCTTTCTGAAGTAGACTAGTTGCCTGTCCTGCTATTCAAACCTTTCCCAAGAGTATTAATGGAATTTGAACTCAGCCCTCCGATTCCTCAATCCAAGCCGCTATCCATTACTCCACCGTTTCCTATATAGAGAAATAGTAAATCTATGCGCACTGGAATCAATAAATACATCAAGGAATAGAATTTTATTATTAATATTAAATTCTAATGTAAATTTGAGGACGGGGGTGAATTTCAAATTTATTTTTAATGATGTCAATCAACAAATTAATTAAACCCTACCACCCAAGTAAATATTGTATTAACTCCACAAATGAATTTATACAAATTCTTCATGATGTAAAACCAAACAACCAAATAATCGCATCTTTGAATGTACAAAATTTATTTATTAATGTTCCCATCCATGAAATGATTGACAATCACACTTCTCTCCCACCCATCAATATTAAACACATCATTTTAAAATAATTATTATTAGCATGTACCACTCAAGTACGTTTACATGACTCTTAGGTAATATTTATACAAAAATAGACCGTATTGCGATGGGATCTCCCTTAGGCCCAAATTTTTATAATTATTATATGGCACATTTAGAAAATAAAATACTTAATGACATTAATAAACCCCCTATATATGTAAGATACATAGATGGCATTTTCGTTTTAGCTAAAAATGTTGATCAAATTACACAACTTAAAAATATATTTGAAAGTCACTCCGTCCTCAAATTTATATTAGAATTTAATATTAATAATAAAATTTCATTCTTTGATGTATTATTGATTCCAGCACACAAATTTACTACTTCTCTATATAGGAAACGCACTAGCATTAACTCGTGTCTTCTTAATTATAAAAAGGAATGCCGATTCCTCAATACGAACTGTAATCCCCTGCATTATATATATATATATATATATATATATATATATATATATATATATATATATATATATATATATAAAAATTAAGAGTGGATAATTGAATCATACAATATAAAAATGCTTAACATAGGTCTTTTTCCATTTTTCGATTCAATTACCCCACATACACAAAAATGATATATTTTTATTACTTCAAACGTTATTTTCATGGATACACATATTTGAGTAGACGTTGCGTTTATTTCAAACACTATTTCGTCTACCGGCTTGCATACTCGAGAAAATATGCGGTCCGGCATAAAATGATTTATGTGAAATATCCTATCAATGTAAGAGGAACTTTCTGAAAATTAGTTGAATATTTAAATCTTTGATTCCGTTGTCAACGTTCCTCTCTCTAAAAGTGTGTGTGTGTGTGTGTGTGTGTGTGTGTGTGTGTGTGTGTGTGTGTGTGTGTGTGTGTGCTGAAAGTTTCTTCTGGCGACCAAGAAGGGTATCGCCCGCTCCAAAATGTTGATGTTTGTTCAGATTTTGAGAAGTGAATGGAGTCAAGGACTTTTCCGAACCCCCGTGTGTGTCTCTTCTTTATATTTTCCCTGAAGTAGTTCTCTTCGCTATGGTACCTAGACTTTTTGAATTTAAGCGCAATATTAGACTGGCGTCGAGGTCTCTTCGCTTTAATGTTGAGCTGGCTAGATGTAACCGTAAATTCTATACTAACAGATTCATTTTTAACACTTCTCGCTTGTGGAACTCAATTCCGGCTTCTTGCTTTCCAGCCAACTGTAATCTTCCAAAATGTAAAAGGTCAAATGCTATTATGTCCTCCGGATTACTTTTTTATCTTCCGCTCACGATTAACGTTTCTGTTCCAATTTCTTCCACACCCAGTGACCCCATGTGTCTTAGCGGCTTTACTCCTTTTCATAGAGTGAATTCGATTAAAACAAATCTAATATCTGTTAATTCATTGAAATAAAAACATAGATTATAAGATTATTCTGACACAAGGATACTAATTCGGGTAGGTACCGAAATCTATATACTTGTACTTAGATATATGTATGTAGAATATAGAGAAAAAGACAAAGAAGAAAAGCAAATAAGTTATATCTCGAAGCAGAACATTCTTATTATTTTATTTCGATTTTGTTTAAAGCACAAAGTTTCTCTCCAAACAAAATGAACGCTGCTACAAAGTCAACAAGTCCAGTGTCTCCTCCTCCTCTTCCTCCTCCTCCTCCTCTTTCTCGTTTTTTCTGAAAGGGGAATGGAACTTCAGATGATCTTACCGTAGATAAGAGCGTGAGGGAAATATCCTCTCCTTTATTTGAAACAGGTTTTTATTGCTTTTTTACGCCTGCGTGTGTCATTTTCTTCCTTCTTCTATACAAGATACGACATTTGTTAATAATAAACTATCTGCATAGTACCGGTCAAAAATGATGGCCTAATTTATAGATCTCAGTTACTCTGCCAAGTCTACCTGGGATCAATGTGTAGTATCTGTGTGCTCTGAAAAATATTAGATAATAATATGTTAACATTCGAAGCGAGTCTGGATTTCACTTTGAAGGCTTCTCTATTCTCAATCAACTACCCTAACCCTAACCCTAACCCTAATCCTAATCTTACTCCAATGATTGCAGATCGTCAAATCATTCCATATAAAGTAATTTTTCGTTTTCCTCCGATCGCTTGACTCCACCATTTTTGTTTTCTTTTTGCATACAGGAATTGTATCCATTGATTAATTCGTTTTTTACGGCTTATCATCCCTTTGCCGGTTAAAAGCAGAAAATATTTTTAGATTGTAAGAATTTAAAGGAGGGGGCACGATGGGGTAATAGATAGTGGCTCGGATTGAGGAATCGGAGAACCAAGTTCGAATTCCAGTCGAATCCATTACATTCACTTACGTGCTAATACTCCCAGCTATGTCTTAATAGCAGGACAGACGGGGTTTTATAGCACTGGATGGCCACTGGTCTACCAATGAAAGAAATGGCAATTTACTGCGGGCAAAAAATCGTATCGAAAGATATATGATCGCCTAAGTGTGTATCACACATAACTGACTGAAGAATTTAAAAAATAATAATTCAACTAATGTGTTTTTCTTTAAAATCCCTTTTGTGTTCATATTTTCTTTAAATTCCTTGATCATGGATATTTTTAAGAATAAAATCTAATTGATATTTCCAACATGCACTATGCTGATTACAATGTATGAGATTATCTCATCTTGTCTGCCAAGGAAAACCTCTTAAGCCCCGTAGTTGGCGTTGTATAAATCAGTATAAAATAATCACATATACCTCTTTCCCTCTATCTGTCTTGTGGGTATCAGATTTTCCAAGCCCTCATTACGTGCTCCAGAAAATTTCAACTGCCTCTTCCTAATTTTAACTATAATTTTCCTGTTTGTTTCTATTTTCTCCAAAATTTCGTCATTGCTCACATGTTCAGTCCATGGTATCCTCAGCATCTTCCTGTAGAACCATATTTCTGTTGCTTTAAGTCTCTTCTTCATCTTTGAAGAAATTGTCCAGCATTCCCTTCCATACAGAAGGACATATATCACGTAATAGTTCAATACTGTTTTCTTTGTTTTTAACAACATTTTTTTGTCTCTTGATACTCTGCTTAGCTTTTGGAAAGCCTCTTTGGCCATCTCAATGCGTTTTCGGATCTCAGTGTCGCACTTCCCCTAATGTTAGAACATTTCCCACGTATTCAAATTTTTGTACTTATTTGACTTTACTATTTTTCTAATTTGCATTTTGGGTTGAGCCTTTTGCTGACAACCATAAAAACTATAATGTATCAATAAGTCCATCGCCTGACTCAGTTATTAGCTGGGTTTCCATCGGAAATTTTCAGTGTATAATGTATGATCTGTGTAATGTATATTCACGAACAAATTCGTAGACAACACAGGAAATTATGTTGAAATGTCTGTT